CAGTGTTTCTGTAATTGTTGCCTCCATCACTTTTCAGATGTGCTGTTCTTTGACAACGACCCTCCCAGGTAAGGTGCTTCCCTTCTCCGCATCTAGTTGAGAATCATGCTTACTTATTTCAGCAGCATATGGGAAATCAATTTAGGGCTATTCTGTAACAGTATTTCATTTATGCATCTTTCAATGATTATATCATTGGCATTTATATTGGCATTATGTAGTACATGTAACTGTTGAGTATTCTACATATATGTGGGCCCAAGGGCCCACCGCTAATGGTAATTTGAAAAAAGTCTCAAAGTCTTTGTTTGCTTTCCTTACACAGAACTGATGAGGACAAAAGAGTCCGGGCTGAGGAGACACTGAAGGAGATGAAAGCTTTCTTGCCAAGTGAGTTTCCTTATGAGGAGGATCCCCAATAATGGACAGAGCTAACCTGTTATGTTTCAAATGGTTAATTTTTACCTTCGCCAAGAAGGTTATGTTTTCAGGGGCGTTCGTGTATGTGTGTGTGTGTCTGTCAACACGATAACTTGAGAAGGCCTTGATGGATTGTCTTGATACTTGGTAGGTGGGTAGGTCTTGATGAGACCTCAAAATGATTAGATTTTGGACCCCCTAGCGGCTTGTTATGGTACTGCAGCTGAACTTCCGGTTTTGATATCTCATGATCTAGACATGCTATGGTGATGAAATTTAGATGGTAGGTAGCTCTTGTGCTGGGGAAGAAGTGATGTGAGTTTAGGCCCCCTAGCGGCTTGCTCTGGAACTGCAGCGATATATTCTTGAAAATATTCAAAAGGGGATAACTCAAGAACCGGTTGACGGATCGTCGTGATTTTGGTTATGTAGGTAGCTTACGTGATCCTTCATATAATTATGTGACAATTATGCAAATATGGATATAATTTGCATAATTTATGGGGAAATTCTATAAATCAGCTGCATTCCATGATAGGACAATTAAAGCTTGTGACATTGGTAATTGACAACGAGAGAAACACAGGAAGATATTGATTATGTTAATAATGACTTAATTGCATAATTAATGAGAAAATTTTATAATTATGTAATGATAACTGCCTGGAATTTCATACTTGTGGTATTTGAAAGTTAAATTGAGGTGAACATCATTAAACATAATTTATTCAAATCAGGACCTCATTTGCATAATTTATTAGGAAATGCTAGAATGCATTGTTTGTTAATATAAGACTGTTTTTTTGGTTGAGATTATGATAAAATGATATAATTAATGAAAATTAGGTTCCTATTTCTTAAATCAGGGGGGAATAATCTAATCTATAATTTGTCAGTCATAAAGATTAACATCATTTGGCGAAGGTATGAGATCGGGGAACTCTAGTATTTGTTATGAATATGTATGAGGAACTAACTCCATGTTTTGTATAGTTTAGATGTAGTGTAAGTTTTTGTTAATATAAGTTATGTATATGTGCATCATGTATAAGTACTTACGAGTTTGCCTGCCAAACTTTGCCTGCCAGTTTGTCTATCCTGTTCACTAACTTTACCCACTGCTTTCTGCGTTCTGCATCCCTTTTCTGAGTTGGGAATGTCCAAAGGATGAAGGGTGGAGGGCATATGCACTGTCCTTTGTTGTGCTTGTAACCTGTGGTTTGCAAAAATTTACAAGAAAATAGTATGTTTCACCATTTGACAGTTTTTGAGATAGGGGTGGGTTAGAAGGATACAAGGAGACAACATAAAAAAACAATGGCTCAGATATATGGATGGGTTAATTTGAACACATGTTATTCAAATACATATGCTGTTAAATCTGTGTTTGTGTATTTTCCTTTAAATATAGAAACCCATGTAAAACTCTACAAGAATTAACATACATTACCATCTACTACTACAGACTTATGCTAGATTTGCAATAAATACCATATCTGCCATCATGCTGTGGCATAAAGACAGATCATTTACCCATAAGATTTATGACGTGCGAATGTAGTGTAGACCTGGCCGGCGGTGCCCATCTGTGGACCAAACCAGTAATGGCTGTTGTCCTTCGTAGCAGAAAGGTAAGTCCTCGGTCCGGTGTTTCCGAAGAGTCACACGGAAAAGAACCCGCCAAACTTGTCGATAAGAGTAGGGGTCCACCAGAGTGGATCAGAAATGTATATATAGCGCCTTACGCAGCTTGCACTTACGCCGTGACCGGCGGTGCCAGTGCTGGGACATGTGGCGGAGACGCAAATTTAAACATACAGACGAACAAACAACGGATTAAATACATGGAAGGACACATTTCGACGAAACAAAATGGAATGAAATGAAAACAAAGTCACAGGTTCAACACAAGATACGCGTGCAAAAACAAAAAAAAAACTGGGTGAACGGCGTACTGTTCAGCTTCCCAATCTTCCACTTTTCGTCGGCCATTTTCAAATCCAAACACCGCACAATGGCCCCAAAGACTACCCTTTGAGTCTATTTCACATTCAAACTCCATAGCACCAGCGAAAAATGCAACAGAAAGCACCAAAACCAATGACAGATGAGACCAAAACACTGGCACGCATGTAAACACGCGACATCGCACGGTTCGCGCGTCCGTCCGAAGTGACATTAACCTTTGACCTGGCCCACAATCCTGTGCGGCGCTGGATCTGTGAGAAGGCTTATAGTAAACTGAAGATTAGGGACAAAGGGTTTTGACTAGGGGCAAAAGGTTTGGACTAACTGACATGGAGGCGAGAGACATAGTTTACAGAACACGAAGTGGCTCAACTAATAACAGAATCAACCGATTTTCATCCATAGGAACTTGTCGATATTTACATACGAGTAACCAGAGCATGCCAAAGATCCATTCTACGCAATGTTTACCTATACAAAAGCGACAATTTGTAAAGACAAAGGGATCTAGAAATGACCTACCTCTCGCTACCGCCCTTCCTCTCTAACTAAAGCTGGGTGGATGTGCGACGGGAAATTCTGCCCATATCCATCCGCCGCGGAATTGGTCATGTCATGTTTGCCAACAACGAAATTATACGAAACAAATATTAACCAACTAATTACTTAACAAATGTAAAACAATAACAAATTGAGGCTGTTGCATTCCAAAACGTGTTATTCCAAATCATGATTTGGAATGGACCACGTTTTGGAATGCAACAGAGGCAAACTGTTTAAAAGAGAGCAGTTGTTACGAGATGCTCCGTTCTTGTCCGCACTACTTTCTGGCGGCACATGTGTACAGGCTGTCTGAGGAGGATATTCGGTGGCGTGGAAGAGTGAGGGTCATTTAGGGTTTCTCTAAGTACAACCCTTGGAACAAAGGTTTAGGAGCAGGTAGGGTATGTACGGTGAAGGGAGCACCTGACAGGGCGGCGACGGAAGACTGCGCTGTCGCGTCCTGAAACATCAGTGTAGCGATATTAAAGTCAAGCCAGGAAACACCCCTTTCTTACTACATGTATTAGACTAGTCCAAGTGGTCTCAAGTAACTGGTGACCCTACCACGCTCTCTTTCTGCCGGGACCCCAGATTGAGCAGACGCATCTTTGTACCTCAGAGTTACTAACCCTCCTGAATAAAGACCATCCAATGGTATCGACCCGCCTCGTTCCAAGTTCAAGATCAAGAACGTAACAATCAGCTCTCCTGACTTCACAAACACCGAGCCTTACATAGCTAAAAATATTTATAATATATTAATAATATATATAATGTTTCTAGAAATATTTATAATGTCGCCAAATTGATTGTACACTTGTTGTAGTAAGCATACTCTCCTGGTAATTGTTGGTAGCTAGCGTACGAGGACGCACGCTTATTGGAGGAGAGTGGATAGTGTAACAGGCCTGACCCGTCAGTTAGTGATTTATGGATTTAAGAGCCATTCTATAATAATCATTGCAGAACATCACAGCTGACAACAGGACCCAAGGTGTAATGGAAAAATCCCAACAAGAGTTGACAAGGGCAAGGTGCTACAACAACAGGAAATTCAACTCCCTCGAGCAGCTTGTAGTGGCGTACGATGAACTCTCCCAAAGCTACTGAGAGAATATGCAGAGCTCGTACCAAACACGGCAAGCAGGGTATCGGTCATTATCCACAATCTGAGTCATCTGGAAAGAAGTTGTAGCCAATAACATCAGTTATTTTGGACAGACAACAGAGACCACGCATCGTTCCATCTCAACCAAGTCATGTTAATGCAGGTTGGGTGGCAATGTAAAGGCACAGAAAGGTTCCAAACAGAAGGCCGAGAAGCTCAGGAAGAGAATTGAAGAAGATAGGCCCTGTCATCTTTTTTTTTTCTTTACTCCTACTGGCCCGACAAATATTTGTGCATTGTGCAAAAACCGTACCAACCCCATTTAGGAATGTTACTTCAACAAACAGACCTGTTTTATTACATACGTGAAACCAATGAAAACCCGCTAATACGTTGGGCATGTAATCGCTGTAGAAATACAATTCTAAGGGATGAGATACCTTCCACAGCAGAAATAAATGGTCTCTACAGCCAGATCCAACCAAAAGAATAGACTGCTTTGAATACAACCGAAAAAAGACTAATTGCAAAGATACAACCATTTAAAGACCATGCTTGTACTATATCACCCAATAAATTCGGCTAACGTAAACCCCATTCTATCCCTGAATACCGGGGTGGAAACATGGGCACAGGGCTGACCAAGACTCTTGAAGACAAAATGTCTTCAAGAGTCTTGGTCAGCCCTGGTTGGGTTGGAAACATATTAACAACAGATATAAAGTACAAATGTAATGATAACACTGTCCTGCCAAGGTTTGCGTGGTGGTGTGATAGAGGTTGTCTGGCAGTTACTTGTACAGTTCTAGTCTCGTATTGCTGACATAAGAGCTAGAGCCCGTTGGAGGGAAGAGGGTGAAAAACCAACTAAATGCGTTTTTAAATTTAGAAAGAAAAGAGGGATGGACAAAGAGATTGACTTTTGTCTATTGCAGGGAATGTAAGAAATACTATGAATTATGAAATTGAATTTCAAGTCCTTTAAAAAACTAGTAATTTTCTATCAAAAAAACAGAATATCTGATTGCGTCTAGGAGAGGGAAGCTGGAGAGGCATCGGGGTAAGTGGGGTACTTTCTGTTTATAGATACATGTATTACTTTTACTTTATGTATTAGAGTTTAGGGAGGCTCTATGTTTATGTGAATGTTTGTGTGAAAATGAATAAAGAATTAAAAAAAAAGATACTATGAACAACTACGTCATCACTATCAGGAGAACAGTATAGACGATTCAGCAACGGATCAATATTTAGAGAGCATACAATTAGAACATGTGTTGAATGAAACAGACATTTCTTGGATAAACCAATTACAAAAGAAGAATGCAAGGAAGCCCTACTCTCCTTGAAAGAAAACAAAAGCCCTGACTTAAATGGCATTCCTTCAGAATTCTTTTAAGTGTTTTGGCCCATCATAGGAGACCTAGTCTATGACTCTTTGCAGGAATCCTAAAGGGAAGGGAAAATGTCTGTATCACAAAGACGTTGGCTATGTGAAATTATAAGTACATCCATATCAGAAGATTGTAGTTTCTCCAAACAAGACAAACATCAAAATAGGACAGGCTACAGTGTCTTGACTTGACGAACCGGGTGTGGGAGCACCATATGTACTAATATACTGCCGATCAATCAGCACAACAGGCAAAGTGTTTCGGTACTTTAAGAGGATGCTTGGGTGGGCAGAGACCCTGAACGCAGTACAAGAAAACCTTCTGATTGTTATGTTTCATTCCAAAACCTTGCCAAAGTACAAAGAAAATGTCCTCCTATCATTGAGTGGTAACAGTCACTGTAGAGTTGTCATGGCAACTACTGCTTTAGGTATGGGAATGAACTTTCCTAGTGTATCCTATGTCATTAATAAGTATGGATATGGATCCATATTAACATAAGATGACATGTCAAGTAACCATTATATCTAAACTTGATAATTCTTATATGTATGATAACATTGTAAACATATGGCAAAGAATGTTCGCTAATCAGTATATCTGTCACTGATTTCGTTGTACAGCATGATCGACAAGCACCTCCGGGAGGTACAGTACCATGCGCGGAAGGTAGAAATCCGTGACCGCTGGCTCAAGGACAGCCTTCTCAAGAACGTCAACTATTTCAAGCCAGTGTCATCACACCTGGTTAACGAGGTTAACGTCGACACGTGGACGTATGGGCACGGAAGCTTTAAAAACTTCACCTTCAAAGAGATGTGGGTCTGGTACAACTACCACAAGACCTCGAAGCTGACCCAGTTAGGGACTGCCCATGAGAAGAAGATGGCGAGGGATGCCTTCCTGTCTGTTAGGCAGTGGGTGGTTATGAAGGAGGTTGACATCTCAAGCCAGCCCATGAGGAGGTTTAGGCGGTGACGACGTGAACCAGGGAGCAGCCACCGGTGACGACGTGAACAAGGGAGCAGCCATCGGTGACGACGTGAACCAGGGAGCAGCCACCGGTGACGACGTGAACCAGGGAGCAGCCACCGGTGACGACGTGAACCAGGGAGCAGCCACCGGTCACGATGTGGAGGTGGCAGGAGGTGCCAGGGTGCGCAAGTCATCCAGGAAAAAGGAATTTCACAGAAAAATTTAAGGTAAAATTGCACAGTCTTAACATTTGCCACATTTATTGCACATTGCACATGGACGGATGTTCATGATGATGGCATGCAATATAATATCATGATGTCTCTCCATGCTAGACAACTGGAGGCCAATCAGCCTTCCTATCACTGAATATAAATTTTTGCCTTTGTTTTTGCCAACAGACTAAAGAAAATTCTACACAAATTAATCGACAATGACCGAACGGCCTATATCAAGGGTAGATTCATTGGACAAAATGTAAGACTCATTTTTGATGTTATTGAGTATGCTGAAACCCAGAACATACCAGGAGCTGTGATCGTCCTGGACTTAACCAAAGCCTTTGACTCCTTGAATAGAACTTTTATGTGTAAAATTTTGACAACATCCAGTTTTGGCCGCTTTTTATTATTCACGTCATTCAATGCATGTATAATGACTTAAGGTCATATTGAAGGGTGGCTGAGGCCAAAAATGAACTATTCGACAACTAAAAAGTACCTATC